ATACTCATGACTGTGTGGTGTTACACTTACTCCTGTGTGATGGATTTGATCACAACTTTCAGCTTCAGTGGAAAACAGTTCAGTCCATTAGGGGCATATGTAAAAAAGGGCATTCCCCGAAGTGGTCAGGAGATAGGAAAAGAATTCTCTGGACTATCAAAAAATCTAAGATAAGATCTAAACCAAATAGCATTTTTAAATCATTGACTCTTCATTTTTTTCCCCCCTATAAAACTAGGATAGGAAAGAAGACAAAACCATATAGGAAGTAGCCAGTGTAAAGGTTTTATTTAATTTTGTATTATGATCCTTGCGTGTAGCCTCATTTCATTTGCACAAGCTCTTTTGTGTGTATTAGAGGGGAGAGGTGCTTCCTCTGTCATGTCCCATTTTTGTGTCCTTGGCTCGAGGGGATGAATCCCTGTCTCTAGAGGCTGTTGCCTCCGACTCTTTTCTGCTCAATTAAACTGTAGAAAAGTGTTAGTGCCTTTTGCTACATGCCAAGGAGAATTCTCTCTTAATTGGCCTTCCGCTGTAGGGCCACACTTCCAAATATGTCACCTACTAATAATGAGAATAATAATAATTGCCATATATTGGAAAAGGTGTATGCCAAGGATTCTGCTTGATAATTTAGAAACTTTGTTAGTAATTCTCACCGAACTTAAGAGATAGCATTATTGGGGCGCCTGGGTGGCTCAGTCAGTTGGGTGTCCAACTCTTGGGTTTGGCTCAGGTCGCCATCTCAGGGTCATGGGATTGAGCCCTGCATCCGGCTCCGTGCTCAACAGAGAGTCTGCTGGGGATTCTCTCTCTCTCCCCCACTCTCCCTCTCCTCTTCTCCCTTCCTGCCACTTGTGTTTTCTCTCTAAAATAAGTAAATAAATCTTTATGAAGAAAAAAAGAGCATTATTTTCTCCCTTATATGGTTAGGGAAACTGAGGACACCCATTTAGTAAATAGAAGAACGAGGATTCGGACCCAGGTTGTCAGACTCCAAGACTGTTCCTTACTCCATTAATTCGTATCCTCCACTCTTCACTGCCACATAAGCTCAAGAATCTTTCCTCGAGTCCCGTAGGGGCTCCGAAAGGCAAATCTGAAACCAGAGCTTTTTGCATTTTATCAATGTAGTTTCATTTTTTGAAAATTCCAGTTTTCTATATGCCTTTCAAGTGTACAGATGTCTATTTGTGATGACAGGATTTGTAGGCACATCAGAGAAGTAGTGAAGAAATCTAGAAAACGAATTCTTTGCGTAATATTGAGGCCTTTTCCAGTGCAAGTGGATTCTGGTATTTCTATCTCTATTTTTTCCATCTATGTTCTATAAATTTCTAGCCCGTTATGCCAGTAGATATGTTATACACGTTTTCTAATGTAAGGCTATACATTATTTACATGTACTATATATTCTGATGTCTCAAAAAATATTGTGTAGTGATTTAACTTTCACAGATTACATTCACATTCAGTTGTCATAACAACCTGCTAAGGTTGAGAGGCTAGGCACTACTGTGCCATTTAACGCCTTGCAAACTGAAGCTTTGCTCACATGGCTAATAAGTAAGAGAACAGACGTATAAGCTAGGAACAGACAATTCACCAAAAAAAAAAATGTAAAGATGGCCCTCAGACTTATTTAAAAATGTTCACACTCATAATTAGAGAAATGCAAATTAAGACAATGCCAAGATATCATTTCTCACCTATCAGAATGGTAAAAACTTTTAAATAGGATAACATGTTTTAAAAGCTGAGACTGTGAGAAAGGCAGTGCCTTCATACATTGCTGGTGGGGAAGCAGATTGGTAGAATCCTTCAGGAGGTAAGCACCAAGAATCTGCCTGTCTTTTGACCCAGCAAGTCCACTTGGAGTGATTGATGCCAAGGGTACGCCTCCAGCAATACTGATGTAGACGTACACGTGTACCTGTGGATTCGTACACTTCCGTATGTTTTATAGGTCTGTCTGCTACGAGCTCCTAGAAGGAATGCATTCCCGTACTAATGAGCACAAATGGCACTCCGATCATGGTTTGTAAACACTTACGCCCCAAGAAAAAGAGTCAAGGCTCCTTGGAGAAAGTAGTTGATGTCAGGGCTAGAGGAGGGAGAACACAAGCTGAGCATGGAACATCTTGTGGCAGAAAGTAAGGAAGTGCTCAAAAAAGGATGAAAACTTCTTAGAAGAACATAAGAGCCAACCTCAAGCTGCTCCTAACTGCCAACTGGAACATTTTGACTGAGAAAATAAGTCCTAATGGTATTGGGTTTTTAGACCTTGTGATAAAATAAATACCCATGGATCCATACCGATATAAAATTCAAATAAATGGGAAGGAAGGGAAGGCTCTTCCTTACAGAACGGCAATTAATAAATGTAGACAGAGGGGCACCTGGGTGGCTCAGTGGGTTAAAGCCTCTGCCTTTGGCTCAGGTCATGATCCCAGGGTCCTGGGATCGAGCCCTGCATCAGGCTCTCTGCTCAGCGGGGGACCTGCTTCCTCCTCTCTCTCTGCCTGCCTGTCTGCCTACTTGTGATCTCTCTCTCTCTCTCTGTCAAATAAATAAATAAATAAATCTTAAAAAAAATAAATATAGACAGAAAGATGGTAATGGAAAATCATTGGTAGATAAGTACTATACAATAATTGTTGAAAACGAGATCCATTGGTGGATGCTAAAATTAATACACAAGATTTTGAGGAGGAACCAGGGTATTTACATAGCCTTGGCGCTGTAGTAATCTGAAGGCTTGACCTTGGGGCCAGGTGGTGGGGGCGCTGCTTCCAAGATGTCCCCATTTCCTCTTCAGAGATCTGCGGGGGGGCCCTCATGACCAGCAAGTTGTCTTCTTCCAGAATGAGTGATCCAAGACAGAGAGTAAAGAGGAAGCCACAATGCCTTCTGTGGCTTATTGTCTGAAATCACACACCATTTCTGCCTATTCTGTTTGTTAGATACTGTTAAGCCACCACACTGGGGAGGGGCATTTCTAGCCAGTAGCCTGAAAATTATATTTTCTCCCTGAGAGTTGCCACTTCCCCTTTTGATGCCCCCCAGCACTCCCAGCTTTGGTTCCTCTTTCTGTGTCTTGCTCCAGTGCTAGGCCTGGATGGATTATCAGGATCACTGTGATAGGACAAGCAGTGGGAAGGAGGAAGCTATATGGCCCCTTCCCTACCTACTTCCACAAGGAACCCTTCCTCACCTCAGTCTTCTGTCACCCACCCCCCTTTCTGGAACTGATTGTCCAGAACCCATCTTTGAACCCATAAGACTTTCTACAGGGCTCCCTAGAGCAGTGATTTGTATCATTTTTCCTGCCTGTCTCCATCTATATTATATTGTATTCATATCTCTATCCTTAAAGTCTTACTTAATGGGTACATGGGTTTCCTTTTGAAATGTAAATACATTTAAGAACCTCCTAATTCAGCATCTGGGCCTCTGTCTTTCCCAAACTGCAGGTCTGGGGGTAAGGAGTGGGGGGAGGAGGCGTGAAAGAGATGTCCTTCAGCCTATTGCCTATTGGCACAAGCACAAGCAAAACTCCGGAAAATTTTTCAAAGATAGTGTTCTTGCTTCAGGGAGTAGAGGGTTTAGGAAGGCTGCTGAGGACTCTGTTCTATGGCAGTGAAGACAAAGACCACCCCCACCCCTCCAGCATTCTTGGGCACACAGAAGGCAGGAAGGAATGACTTCAACGCTTGGAAGTGTCTCTGCTGCCTGTGTTGGCCAGAGATCACCTTCCGTACTCTGTGCTTGTCTCTTCACCAAGCCCCTTCTTCCAGCCATTGCTCCCTCATTGTCCAGCTGCTCCTGGAAAACATCTGGCATCTGTCTCTTTCTGGCACACCTGTTCCTGTTGCACACCCTTCTCTCTGGACCCTCTCTCTTACCTCTTCCCATTCCTGGTACATACCGTTAAATAACAAAAAGTCAGCTGAGTACATTTGAAGATCTCATTGGCTTTATGAGGTGATAATGGGACAGCCTCCCACCTGGCAGGTGGGAAGGAGCTCCGTCAAGCTACAGGAAAGGAAAAGTTTCTATAGGCAGAGAGGGAGCAGTCAAAAGAAAACTATCAGGAGAGCATGCATTGTTTTAGACAAGGTTGCCCTGCTGAGGGGAATGGATCGGGTCTAGGCAGTAAATTTCCTAGTGCTCACAAGGAAAGTCCATGTTGACTGGTTAAAGGTTACATTCCTGGGGGAGGTTGAAACTGCAATTAGGTTAGGTATCAAGGCCTGGTTTGGTGATGTGGCCTAGCATAAGCGACTCCATTCTGGACCAGTGGTTTTCTTTGTAACAATACCCTTTCCAGTGCTTGTTCACTGGCCTGCAAGTGTTGTCCACCTCATCTTCACCCCTCACTCGGGGGCTGGCATTTAGGGTTCCCTTTGCTTCTTCCTCCCCCTATAGCCTAGGGCAGTTTTTCCATTCTGACACTGGCCTTGCTCTAGAGACTTCAGCCCAGCCAGGGTCTGCTCCCCAGCCCTCCCTCACCTCTGCTTCCCCCTCTCTGCCCAGGGAAGGTGAGACACAGTAGGTGATACAGGGATAGAACTAAGGCAGGCTAATCTGACTGCCAACTTTGTTCATATCACTTTTTTTTTTTCCATTGGAGGAAAATGAAACTGAATGCAGACCTACAATCACCATTATTCTTAAATTACAATTGTTTGTAAAAGGCCACAGAATTTTTAGGTGGGAAGGAAATCTAATCATAATCTCTTCCTAGTTATCTCATTTCACAGTTCAGGTGGGCTCAAGGTCCAGGTGGGCTAAGTCATTTTTCTACAGTCACGTTTTCTGATGCAGAATCTAACATTCCAGGTGACATAGTTTCACACTCAGAGTTCAGTTAAATCTATAACAACTTGTCCTCCAGAACAGAAATTTTGATTTTTCCTAATATCATAGATTACATTTTACATTTCACATTATACTGGTACATATTTCTAGGAATTATAGTTCTTTTCTTTCTAATCCAGATCTAGGTCGATCTCGAGAACTACAGTACGTGTACGTGGATAACAACATTCACCTGAAAGGCTTGCCATCCTATCTGTACAATAAAGTCATCGGGTGCAGTGGGTAAGGCTGATTTCATGTTTTATGCTTTCGCTAAACTCTTGCTATATTCATTTCAATTTCATTGTTTGGTCCTGATGTAACTTAGAAATAGGTGAACCATTTTGGATCACCCTGTTCAATTCTGTCTTTGACCTTACTATGTCAAACCAAATACCATTAGAAGCTAAGAATATTGGACAAGCAATTTTTAGTATTATATGTCAAGGACAGTTAGTGAGCAAGTTGTGGATTATTTTCCAACCAAAAATGAATCCATGAGTACCGTTAGAAGCTCCATAGTCTCAGTCACTGAAACTGGAGGAATCAGCGTGAACTTAAAAGCTTTCCTTTCTCACCCTCCACTACAGTGACAGTTCTACTGTAGGAAGAGCTCTAGTATCTAGAACTTGACCATTTCAAAATATTTAGAATGCAACATTTGAAATAGTCTCTTAATACAAATCATGATTCTAGTAACCAAAACACATGTTTCAGTTCAAAGGAAATGATAGGCCTTTATTGTCAGAGCAGCAATAATTTTTCCTTCCCAGACAGGCTTCTAGAAAGGAGGTTTCAGCTTCTCCTTCTATAATGTTGGGACAGAATCACCTTAAAGTGTTTCCCAGAGTGGTGTGAGATTAATATAGGGCAGCTCAACTACCAGAACCTACTTTTAACTGGCCTGCCTTTCCTCACATAAACAGCCAAAGGATACTTGGGATACCTTCAAGGCTACTTAGCCAGCATATGTGACTCTGTCCTTGTGATTCCAACACCCTGCATCAGCTGGCTCCTACTATATGTAGTTCTGGCAGGAAGAGAGCTGACACTAAGCTTGTGCATGGAGGACAGCTACTCCCCTGTTGGCCTGGCTCCAGGGGATGGGCCCTGAGCAGCGATTCCTCCAGAGAAGCCTTCCTTGGAGTAGTGGCCTTCCCTTAGGAAAAATTATACCATTGTTATCTTGGAAGAGCCTTCGATGACGCTTCGAAGTGCCCATATAGGCTGACGAAATGCAACTTCAGAGACGTATTTCGGAACCTTCTGTGAAGCAGAGATAATAGAACGTGTGGTGGGGTTTTTAGCTCAGTGATTTTTCGACAGCTGATTATGTGACAGCTGTGATACTACTCAGTCATTAATCCTAATGAGTTCTTAAAGGATCTGTAATACAGCCCAGTTCTTCCAAGTGGAAAATAAAATACCCTCCATCACCAAGATACACGGAATGATGCAAGTGAGCTCCAAGGCTGAAGGCAGTTCTTCCCACATCTAAGCCTTCAGAGACTGCACTCGAGTCTCCAGCACAATTAAGGAATAGCTTTTACTTACGATAAAGAGCCTTCTACTTTGTCGTATAGATTTGGATGTGATTGACTGCCAGAAAGTTCTATACATGCTGAGAGACATTTTTTCATCCTAGGATTGGTATCTGGTAGCAGAAGTAGTGAATTTATAATTAATTTTCTTTGAGAAAATAAGTAGGATGAAATGTGAAAATTATTAGCTAGTAGTCTGCATTTACTATTATAATTTATTATAGCATCTTCCTTTGGAAGTAGTAAGAAGAAAAATAATTATTCAAAGGATAGTATCAAATAATTGGTTTTGTGATATTAGTAGTTTTGGGAATAGAGGCAGCCCCATTTACAAATGAACTGTGATCCAAAAGGCATTTTTAGTCTGTTGGTTTAAGTCAGGATGTACTTCTCTCTAGAAGCAATTTTGGTGATTATATTCCTGGCCAGTGCATTAAAAGATCATTTAATCCATTTTGCACCCCTGAAATTATATGATATTATATGGGAAAACATACTCTGAATTCTTTTTTTTTTTTTAAGATTTTATTTATTTATTCAACAGAGAGAGATCACAAGTAGGCAGAGAGGCAGACAGAGAGAGAGAGGAGGAAGCAGGCTCCCTTCCAAGCAGAGAGCCTAATGTGGGACTCGATTCCATGACCCTGAGATCATGACCTGAGCCGAAGGCAGAGGTTTAAGCCACTGAGCCACCCAGGCACCCCGTACTCTGAATTCTAATAGATGGTGGCTACCAAAGCCTGCCAACATAATTAAGGGTCCTCCTTCTTTGATCTCCTTTATCTCTTATTGAATATATGCAGAGGGACCTCCCTATTCCAACTCAAAGTGGGGCTGCTTTGGGAGAAGGAAGGGCCAGGGGTAGAATAAGGTTCTGAGATAAACCTAATAAAAAGAGCAAAAGGGTACATGAGGCCTAGAAAGTACGCTTCTTGATTCTGAGCAAGGATCTTCATTCACCGAGTTCATTCAGTGAATGTTTATTGAGCAACTACTCTGGTCACTGTGTTAGATAATGGGCCATACGGTGATGAGCAATTCTAAATACCTGGCCTTGTGGACCATGTAATCTAGCCAGGACTCCAAATAAACAATAAGTAATTGATCAAAATTGGTGCTAATTCTCTTTAAGGAGATGATATTTAAACTGAGAACCTAAGGATCAACGTACTTGCTTCCCCACGGCTCTCACATCTTCCTTCTTAGATGTAGGCCTGGAATATAAGAACTTCTGCTGTCTTGTACCATCTCTGAAACAACTACATCTTCTGATGGGGAGTCGAAGAGAATTAGAACAGAACAAAGTAAACAGAGCTTTAGAGGCTGTGGCACAATATGAAACGTCTGCTATACGTACGATTTGCATCTTGGAAGGAAAATGCAGAATCAGATATAGAACTGTAAACATAGCAAAAAACAAGTGTTGTACAGGTTCAAGAAATCTTAGAAGTCTCACACAATTATCTTGGATATTCATGGAAATAAAGTTAGCACCTCCTTATTATATATTCACTTACTTGTCATATAATTATTGAGCATTAAGTAGCAAGTCAGCACTGTGCTAAGAGTTGTGGAAAAGACAAAGATAACTTAGATGTTTATCCTAATATATAAAAGTAACTGTTAATATAAAAAATAAATAGCCTAAGAGAGGTAGAATGATAGAAATTTAGAGCATGGGACTATCTTTTATGACCTAGCCTTGAAGTTATACACTGTCATTCCTGTTACACCCTGTTGATTACACAGGACAACCCTGTCCATTGCAGGAGGAGGCCATTTAAGAAAGGGAGTACTAGGAGGGGAGGATCATGGGCGCCACTTGGAGACAGGCTATCCCAGCTTCCTTGCATCCAAAGTTCTTTGCCAGCTTCATGGAAAAGCATGATTTTTATTTGGTCTGGGTCTTTCTTACTGTTACTATAGGAGTAAAGGTCTTTAGTTCTTCTGTATTTTACCCAGAAAGAGAAGTCTTTCCTATTAGAGTTTTAGAAAATGGTAATGGGCACATTTACTTACCTAGGAGAACTCGATGCTAAAAGTGACCCTATGCCAGGGGCGCCTGGGTGGCTCAGTGGGTTAAAGCCTCTGCCGTTGGCTCAGGTCATGATCCCAGGGTCCTGGGATCGAGCCCTGTATCGGGCTCTCTGCGTGGCAGGGAGCCTGCTTCCTCCTCTCTCTCTGCCTGCCTCTCTGCCTACTTGTGATCGCTGTCTGTCAAATAAATAAATAAATAATCTTAAAAAAAAAAAAAAAGTGACCCTATGCCAGTTGTTTTTTCAGTTTTCAGATTACGTGCAGAAAAGAAAACGGAACCATTGCTTTGCTTTTTCTTATGTAAATAAGCAATTACAGCTGGATTTGGTACAAATTGGTTAAATGACTTGATTAAATGGTTTGTTAATATAACCACTTAAGGTAACAGAGTTGTTCATATGAGAAATGTATTCTGAGTTCTGAGTTAAACCAGCACTCTGAGAAAATATCCTTGGGGCACCTGGGTGGCTCAGTTAGTTGAACATTAGACTCTTGGTTTGGCTGAGGTCATGATCTTGGGCTTGGCATTCAGCACAGAATCTGTTCAAGATTCTCTCCTCCCTCTGCTCTCCTCCCCGCCAAATAAATAAATAAAATTTTAAAAATAAATAAATAGCCTATATATCACAGTCTGTTTTTATGTGGGGGCTGCCCCCCCCATCTGATAACAAGCAATATTAGATACCTGAACCTGAACCATACCTGTGGGGCAGTGTGGCTACAGATGAAAATACCAAGGTATGACTTGAGCTATCAACCAAGAGACAGAGTGTGCAGTTTGATTCCAACAAAGTAATTATTTATTAAAACAAAAATATTAACACTCCTTTTAAGTTTTAGAGGAATGTAACAGAATCCAGCATCTTTACAACAGAACTTTCACAGTGTCCAGGATATATCCCAAAATTACATGACATAAGAATAATAAAAAAAAAATGTGACCCATTCTCAAGGAAAAAGACAATCAGCAGAGACCAACCTGAGGACCCAAACTCTTGGAAATGACAGATGAGGATTTTAAAACAACTATTTGCAATGAAGTAAAGAAAAATACATTTGCAGTGAATGAAAAGACCAGGAAATTTAAAAAAAAAAAAAAAAAGGAAAAAGAAAGTATAGGAAAGAAACAAATGGGAATTCTAGAGTTGAAATACAGTATCTGAAATAAAAACTTTTCTTGATGGGCTTAACAGCTGAATGGGTATAACAGAGGGAAAGTCAGTGAGCTTAGATCAATAGAAATGATTCAGTGTAAAGAACACAGAGAAAAAAGATTGAAAAAAAAAAAAAATGAACCCAGCATTAGGGATCTGCCAGACAATAGAAAAAAACCTGATAGTGGTATAATTGGTATCCCAGAAGGAACAGACTTTTCCTAATTTTTCTCTTTCCTAAGAGAAATGCAGCAAAAATATTTGAAGAAATGTCTGAAAATTTCTCAAATATGATGAAAGACTTTTTACATTCTCAAGGAGCTCAGCAAACCCTAAGCAGTATAAATTAAAAAGAAAACGAAGCCTAGGCAAAGCTGCTGAAAACCAAAGATAAAAAGAAAATCATGAAAGCAACCAGAGAAAAATGACAAATTATGTACAAAAGACTGTTACCTTCTCATCAGAGACTATGAAGGCCAGAAAACAGTGGAACAACATTTTTAACGTGCTA